GTTTAGGTCAGCAATAGGGAATAATCACGGTTTTAATAATACTTCTTGGATGAATTAGTTTGTACATAATTTTGATCAAACAAAGAAAAATAGACACTAAATTCACGAACGTTTTTTAATAAGGAAACTTCTTAGCATTACTTGATTTTAGGAAAATTTCCTTTTTATGTTATTAAGGAAATAATCAGGATATAACTACTTTCATGATCATTTGATGAGAAGACCTGATACACACATTTACACCTTAGGTACAGTATGTTTAGGTAATATTGAATAGTTTGGAATAAATTCTACCTCAATCGTTTCCTTTCGCTCTTAAAAAGGAGTCACCGACATGCATCCCTTGTAACAGAGTTCCACAAAATGCCACACGTCAAATACCGTTCTTGAATTTTATAAGCGGTTGAATAAATATTAAACCATGAGAAAAGTCAACAAACATTGAGGAATGCTGGTCATTGAAGCTCTTCGCTGAAGGTTGTAAACTATAAAACGTTAAGTGTACTTTTTGGAAGCTTCACTGTTCGGAAAAAAGCACTGTCAGCTTGCATTCATTTGCTGTGTTGTCAAACAACGTTTGTGCTACACACGTAGCCGTATGTCGCCACCAATATGTCAAAGTTATTATTTCCTGATTACTAACTATTACTAAGTCGGTCAGAGCAATTTAAATTTCGGGGTTCAATTTCCGGTCTAGTCATGCTAAGTGAATTCTTACACTAAGAACACTATTGCTTTTCATATTTAGTTTATTTCATCTATATCCATATTATTTGTCATAAAAAAAACCGCAAAGTATGGTGTGCCTTTCAGAAATTATTGATCAAAGTTATAGTCATGCCAGAAAAAACCAGTTTCAAATGTTAAGTAACAGTGGTGCGGTATCCTTTATCCGTGAGTTATTTTATCATATTATTCCATTGTTTTAAATGACAGTCGTACTCATCAAAGCAATAAGATGATACAAAATGGTTTAAAGACCAAAACAGTTGTGAACAAGGTACACGGGGTACAGTTTTCCTACATTCAACCCTCGAGTTATAATCAAATCAAAATAATAGACCAAAAGTAATTGTGAATCAAAATTTAGCCTGAAAAAAATCACATGACATCTCAGTGACGTTATTTTAAACAAACTTCCGTGTGTTTAAAAAAAAGGAAGAAAATGTTTGTTTATGTTCGCCTCTTTGCTGAAACGATCATGTTCGTCTCGTGCCTTTATATATATTTCTCAACATTGATGACAGTTTGAAGTACGTGCCCTTTTTTCAATTTTTCATTTCGCTATAAATTACAATATATTTATATGCTGATTTATACAAATACATGCAGGAGAGAACTGATATAGGCATAGCCTGTTGTTCGATCCCATTCATACAACATCATGAATAAAATTTGTTGAAATGAAGGACGTAATAAGCGTTTCCAGCGAGGAAGAAGAAAAAGGTAATTAAAGGAGAAGGAAAGTAACTGATGGGAGGATTGGATAAATGAGGGAAAGAGAATCATGAATGTAGGATGGATATAAAATGAGGGAAGGAGAAGGGGAAAGTAGGAGAAGAACAGGTGGTACCAGGAGAGTGTTCAAGTATCTTAATAATGTAAAACAATTATTGAGATTCCCATTCATAAAGGAATGGAATGAAAGGGAAGGGTTAATATCTCTGTCTTTAGGGACCACTTACAGCTCACCACTTCTCCCCGCATGTACTCGTAGGAGGAATGAAAGCCCTCCCCTCTCCTCCCTCCCCCGTGTGTGTCCTGGGGGGAGTGGAAATTGGTTACCAGGGGCTACTGGGCTTTTACATGAGACAACGCAATGTGATAGCAAACAGTTTGTCCAGAATGACATAAGCTTGATAAATGCACATTCTGGAGCAGGTAAAGTTACGACATTGGGTTTCTCTCCGACATTGGGTTTCTCTCCGTTACAGCTGGTATCTAGTTTTAATTTGGGTTACTTTGTTTTTATCACTATGATTACTCTGTACAACTGATGTTGTTCGTAAATATCTTATAAAGCTATGTAACAGGAAGTTGTTCGTTATGAATAATCAAGGAATGGGTCATCTTCTCCAATGCTAAAATATTTTTTTTTAAGTTTCTGTTGGGTTTTTAGCCAACCATCATCTGATGGTGGGCTATTCAAATCACCATGCGTCCGTGGTCCGTCGTCCGTCCTTAAACAATTCTTGTTATCGGTATTTCTCAATAAGGGATCTTTCTCAAATGTTATATGTAGGTTCTCCTTGATCCTTAGCTGTGCAGGGCAACTTTTGAGACTGATCGGATAAACAACATGGCCGACAGGCAGCCATCTTGGATTTTGATTGTGAAAGTTTGTTATCGCTTTTTCTTCGGACGTACCAAAGGGATCTTTCTTAAATTTGATATGTAGGTTCCCCTTTGTCCTTAGCTGTGCAGGGCAACTTTTGAGACTGATGGGCTAAACAACATGGCCGACAGGCAGCCATCTTTGATTTTGATAGTGAAAGTTTATCGCTATTTCTCGGGAAGTACCCAAGGGATCTTTCTCAAATTTAATATGTAGGTTCCCCTTGGTACTTAACTGTGCAGGGCAACCTTTGAGACTGATCGGATAAACAACATGGCCGACAGGCAGCCATCTTGGATTGATAGTGAAAGTTTATCGCTATTTCTCGGGAAGTGCCAAAGGGATCTTTCTCAAATTTGATATGTAGGTTTCCCTTGGTCCCTTGTTGTGCAGCAGTGCCTGAAATGGACGGTCACTTGCTCGCCAATGGCGGTTAAAGTCTTGCTTGAGCGACAATAGTTTGGGCGACTGTCAAAAAATAATGAATAAAAGAAATTATAGTCCCTTCCACATTAACTTGGGGGGCAGTACATTTTTCAGTTGTCATTACTTCGATTNATTGATTCACACTATTAAGCCGACATTAGCAAGTTTCATTCTCTTGTTGAGTGCCATTCCTTCAGTACCTTTTACTATAGCACCTGATATCTTTCCAAAATCTCTTTCAAAAGTCTTGGTCAAATCATTCTTGGATTGAACCTTGACTGCTTATTTTGGTATTCTTCTTATTACAATAACAATAATAAGATGTGTGTGTGTTTTTAATTAGAACTGTAACAGATCAGTTGATTTTTTTATCAAACGTTGATCTGATTATTTTGCTAGCAAACCTTCCCTTTATAAGTATAGGGGTAAATAATAATAACTTATAAAGTATCCCGATGATCTCCAAGAATTATGACATGTAAGCCTTTTGAGCAATATTGCCGAGGCTGGTATTACTTATAAATTATAATTTTAAAAATAAAGTAATTGCTTTAGAAGAATATTTTCTGAGATATCCATGGAATAATGTGCTATGATATATCTGGAAAGATATGCATATCTATGAGATAATGGTTGTTCTTTGAAATCAGTCCTTATGATATTTCTTTTTTCTTTTTTTGTTCTCCAGTTTATACATGTACATGTATATTTGATTGTCTGAGCCTCGGTGCGATTATTTGGTTGTCTTACTAACGATTTGACAACTAAAAAAATCACCTATTTGGTTGGAGATTTCTGTGTCTCACCCTCCAGGTAGGGGAATATTCTCTATTATTAATCAACGCATCAGCTTTGTTTAAAGTCCATAGACAAGAAAATTTTAATAAAAGCTGAAGGCCAGACAAGGTTGATCAGTTTCTTCAAATATTGAAAAGCTGAATGTCTTACAATTCTTTTATTAATCTTAATCCTGCCAGGACATGCTGACTGACTTTATTCAAATATATATATTGCAAATTCTGGTTAAATATTTAAAGTATATCACTTTTTTTCTTGTGTAATAATACAACTAGTTACAATTGTACAACTATATAAAAAGAAACCAGCTAGAAAGTGATAATTCTCTAAGCAACTTATGCTTATTAAAATAAAGAATTATTTAGGCTAGAAGGAACACTACATCTTCTTTTCATCCGCAGTACGGTGATAATTGTGATCTTGAAAATGAGAGCGTTTATTAGTTTTATTACGGTACCGTCGAGGAAGCGGCGCTGCAGTCGCATTGTTTACAACATCGGAACGGTGGAAGTTCAAGCGAACGTCTGTTTGCAGAGGTCTATTAGTTCTACATATAAGTATGTTTTTTACAGGGATGTACACGTCTACAATAAAATGAGACTCAAGATTAACATTTCATCATGTCTTCCTGTGAATGATTCTCGGACAAGCTGAGCCAGCGAGTGTAGATGGTCGGAAACTTGAATGGTGGGAAACTTGAATGATCTTGTTGGATTACGATGTGGACCGCCTCAAGATGGTCATTTGAATCAATAGCACGTTTGTAAAACTCTCCATTAGTCTTGAATTAATTGGAGGGTTTTAAAAGTAAATGGTCTAGAAATACTCGGGACGAAATGTCTCTTACTTTCTCTTAATGGATTTAAGACAGAAATTTAGACTTAAGACTTATTTCTTTTTTCATGATCCCCAAGCTAAATCTGTTTTTAGACTTAAGTAAAAAAAACTTTGGACTTAAGTCCAGAATTAGACTTAAGTACGTTTCATGATCCCGGGCCCTGGACACTGCAACATTCTGCTGTTATTGTTGTTGTTGTTGTTGTTTTTTATTTCTGAAGTTAAACCTATTCATAATCGTAAATATTGAAACCGTCTCGACAATATTTTCATTTGTTTTCATGAAATATTGAGGACGGGATGTGGATGTCTATGGTAAAGTGTTGATTCTGCGGTTAGTTTTGTTCATTCGTTTTGACGCTCTAGTATAAGTGTGTGTTAACGATATGATGTATATTTCCTTATGAATGTTGACACTGCGCATATTTAGTCATTTTGTGGTAGCCTATTTACGCTGCAGTATATATCATATAAGGGTTGCCGTTGTTGTATAGTTATCAGTGGCTGTAATCGTTGCAGTACTGTATATTTAATTTTATTTATTTAGTAGTTGTTGATGTTGTGGTTGATCGCTTGCTATCTCTTCATCTTTTGATCATTTCAGATAGGACGCTGTCTATAAGATGCGCAGGCCGGTCGTACTTGTCTTATGTGGAGGCGCCATTTGCACCTTTTACTTGCTGTACAACCTTAAGCATGACAACTCCGATAGGAATAGCCTGATGCTGACCCCTCCTTTTGCCGTCCAAAGTAATACACGTAACTACTTGTCCCAGCTTCCCAGGAAAACATGTTCCAGCAATCAAACATACATCGATTTTGGGGCAATACTGAACAAACTACAGACGGAACGGGTCGCGAAATGTGTTGCCAATTACGACATCGATGCTCCAAAAGGTTTACAAAAAGATGGTATTTATAGACCGATACGGTATACTAGCCACGCTTATTTAAACAGCAGCAGTTTCATGATTGAGGCCGGGGGTCATCTAGGGCACGATATCAGTGAGTTTAACTCACGATATCATCCAGGCCACTACGTCGTCCTGGAACCTGTTGGGAACTTTTTCAATGTTTTACGGGAGAAATTCAAGGATTCACCGAACATTGTTTTGTACAACTTTGGGGTCGATGTGAATGACGGTGTTTTCCAAGCTGGTCAAGGTAATGACGGAACGTCGATTTACAAAAAGGGAAAAGACGGTTTTGTACTTAAGATCGTTGCAGTTTCAAAGCTCTTCGAGAAACTAAAGGTTGCTGAGAAGAAAGTTGACCTCGTAACATTAAACTGTGAGGGATGTGAATACGCCTTTCTGGATTTCTTACTGTCCACAGACTACATTCATCAGTTCCGTAACATACAATATCAGTCTCACAGAGTACCTGAAATTTGTTTTCCCGTGAAACGTTTCTGTTGGTACCAGGAACTTCTAGCTAAAACACACAAACTTGTGTTTCAACATAAATTTACTTGGGAAAGTTGGACACAAACATAAATCCTTTCCTGAAAATCCATTAAGAAATGAAAGGTTTGAAAGACAAGACCATTTGATGTTAAACGAAAAACAAGGGTCGCGAGGGAATAAAACAATCCCCACTTAAAAGATATGCATGTCTAGTGAGTTGAACTAAACTAGACCAATTGATCGCTACATGAAAGCGTATTGACATTTACTTGGTTATGCCATTATCTTTTTTTTATAACTCTAGCATTGTTTACAAATTGTACATTGTAGCACTCAGTCACGTTCCACACAAATGAATTGAGCTCCATAACATGTTAGCCTAAAATATGAACTGACTGATACTTAATATACACTACAAGTATTTTATACCGTTATTTTTTAATACACATAAATTAGATATCATTGTTTCTGAATGACCTTAAACAGTTTTACACACACACACACACACACACGTGTAACAACCGATATCAACACTGGCAGCTTTCACTCTTTACATGGCTCTTCGGGTTTAATTCAAAAGGACATAGGTAACAGAATACAGCGATTTCTGTTAAAGGACTTGGTGTTTCCGAAAATAGAATTATGACGTGTCTCCAGACGAACAAACCGTCCCGATTCCGTAGCTTTTTGGAGGGTTTTTTCAGATTGCTTACATTACTGTTTTGAAAATAATAAAACAATTATAGCCTTTAACTTCGGTCGATACCTGGATTTATCGACCCGAGAAAAGATATATTGACCGATGACTGCATAAATCCAGGTATCTACCTCAGCCAAAGCCTATAATTGAATAGTATTTGTGACTAACTTCTAGATTGATTGTAAACCTCTATCGGTATATTTTTAATGATGACTGCATTTCTTATGTTATGAAGTTTGATGGTTATAATATGGTATATCACAATGGTATTAGTTTTAAACTGTAATGATTTCACAAGAAAAGTAAAAGAATATCCAAAGGACCAATATTAAGTAGTACATTTGCAATAAAAAAAAATGTTTTCAATATCATAAAATATACATTCACAGTGATATGCATCTTCGCCAGCCAAGGGTTGATCGTGGTATTGGTATTGTCTTCATGTGAAGAGTAGGTAGATCGTACCGGATCAACCCTTGGCTGGCGAAGATGAGTGATATGAGGAATGATATGACTTTTTATAGCTATATATATATGATATAAAATCATTATCAGGCACGCCCTATTAGACAAGTTAACATGGAACAGGATCACTGCATAACTGTTGGTTAAGACAAAATATTTAATATTCTTTTACTGTAAATTAACTTCAGCATATATTCAAACAAAATATACCAGATCGAAAACAAATAGACAAAACATCGTCTTAAATAAAAATGTCACAGTTACGTTTTATCGTGTTTTACATGGTATCAGTATTGTTTGCAGCATCGAAGACTGAATCTCATTTATCTACACTTGATTCCTGCCACAGAAATACTCACTCGTGTGAGACTCAGAAAAACGATATGTACTGCAGATGTGACCGTTTATCGTGTATGCAAATACTACGATGATCGCTACTTTAATGCAGTCAGAATATCTGTAGAAAACCAAAAGGTGAATAACTTACGTATTCTGTTCCTTGCTGAGAATACTTGTGAATACACCTCTCATCAAAGAGAGGCTCATCAGTCCATGGGGAGCATTTATGGTATCATCCTGCCCTGCGTCATGGAAAGGTGAGAATGACGTCAAGTATAAATGTGAAAATGATACCGACAACGACTCCTTAGACATGTTACCCGTGTTTGACTTGAGTACCAATATAACATTCAACAACCGACAATGTGCATCATTCCACGATGTTCATAATTGGATTCCATGGTTAATAAAATGTATTTGTAACGGAAAATTATTTAGTTTAAATACCCAGTATACACCTCTTTCATTGATAGATGCAATGACGTTGAGGATAAAGAGTCCATTTTGTGTTTATCGATTTGAGCCGCCTGCAAATATCAAAGTACGGTTCTGTTACCAAGAATTCGAGTATGTACTATGGAACGTCTTGAAAGCAGTGAACAACACAGTATGTGAAAAAGCCGCGTGATAAAGCCTTTTATACTGAAGCCAAAGAATCAATTTTCACGTGAACTGTTCAGAAACATTCATCATCATCTATATACTACTTTATAACACCTACCGGTAGTATGATAAATTCATTATCATCTAAGGTGGCGGTACCCAAATCGGATCGGTACCCAAATCGGATCACTTTTTGCAAAAACACTCATAAATAAATAAATGTGTCAACAAATCAGTTGTGACAATGATTTAGTCTTAGAATAGATAGCCATGCACTATTTTTTGACTACAGAAAATTATTTTTTTTAAGTTCAAATAGCGCAAGAAAACGTAATTCAAACTCAAATATCAATGTTTTGATTACTTTTTTAAAAAATGGCGCGTGCGACGACTATGCACTCTGTTTTGGACTTAGGAATAAATTCACTCTATAGAAATACTGTTTGTCATGTAAATTCTAAAGGTCATCATAAAATGTTAATATGCTGACAAAAAAATATTCATTTGAAGCGTACGATACTGCAAAATTCAAGCCGTGATCCGATTTGGGTACCGACCTTCGTAAAAACCGGAGACGCTGATTGGTGACTTTAGAGCATTCTATAAATATCTCAAGTGAGCCCCGGGTGCTAAGTTTGGGTTGTGAGAACACCCATCGATATTCTACTTTTGATACAACCATAAATGAATATAATTCCTCCTCAGATTTTTCAATGATTTAATAAAATGATGGTTTGGTGATCCGATTTGGGTACTGTCACCTTATATACTACTTCATACCACCTACCGGTAGCATGATAAATTCATTATCATAGGTTGTCAGTATGAGAAGAAGTTGAGAACGACTTGAGAACAATTTAAGAAGAATTAGAGAACAGATTTTCCCATTCCCCAGCACTTGGGAACGTATTTTCTCAAAAAAGAACGTCTGCTCGCGACAGATGACGACAAAAACCGGAAAGTGTCCACACAAAAGTGATCCGCGGAAGCAAATAGTCCGCCATAAACATATCAATACAAAGTAACGGGAAAATATTGTGAGAATAACAACACCATTTCACGTGTAAATGTGCATATGGAAAAGCCAGGGCCGATAGGATTGTTTTAAAAATATTTTTTTCTACGTAGTTTTGAGGTTCAATGTATTCCTTCGCGCAAAACTTGTATTTGTTTAAGTTTGTCACAGGCGATCGTTGACCATTGAGCTTAGAAGTCAATTGGAAAATATGGTGTTTAATTGAGTTTTTTGAATGGAGAAATATATAACGTAATAGTACATATATGTTAAATAGTTTATCATACAGTATCTTCAGTGTGATAATCTATAAATGTCTCCTTGATGAGTATGATCCTGATTTTTTAAATGATCACGCGTTTCTCCCATAGACAACGATGATTACTCAATCAGCGGTCTGATACAAATTTCTGCATTGTTCTACGTTGTAATAAAAACGAAATCCACCTATCTGATAAGGTAAGAATCCCCATTAACACTATTGGGTGTTTGTTTTACTAGCCAAACGACGGCAATAGTCTCTGACCTCGTACACTATTCGTCTCATACATCGTGGTTCATTCTCAACACTTTCGCACTGATTTGCACAAATTAGCATCCAAACTCTACCGATCACAATCCTGGAAATGCCAAACAATCTTTCTAGTTCTGCTTAACATGGGGTATATGAGGAAACTTGCATGATCATTTCTTTTTCCACTGTACTGAATTATTTTTTTTTGCGTTTCCGACCGAATTTTTTTATTGGCGTTTACATGTAGAGACGGGAAACAAACTCTCGTTTCTATATTTAATGTAGCTAAAACCCTAACGCGCGATACTAATGGAAATAACGCGCCGCCATCAAAACGACGTACCATTATGTCGCATTGCGGTATCTTTTATGAACATTTTCATAACACATGGAATTTTCTATGTCATTCAAATATTTCAAAATAGTGATTCCAAGGTTTATTGACTTTTTTTAGTGTGTTCCTGCTGTTATAGTGGGATTTCTTCCAAAGTATAGTCCGTATTGTTTAATTTAAATTTATTTGCTTTTGTAATTTGGACACTGTCCATCCTTAAATGGCACCAGGCCGCATACGCCTCGTATGTTTACTCCTCTTTATGTAAATATCAGATGTCTCAATCCATCTCTTATTATATGGTTTCTAGATGACACAAAAATCACACCAAATACACATATATGCTGTAAAACTCTTAAGCTTGTAATACACACATTTGCGAGTTATCTCCCGTTGAACGATCGACATAGTTTTCACTTAGTTCCATTCGTCAGATTTTTAAGCAATGTCATAGGAACAGAGCTTTATCAACTTTAACTACATAACATCAATACTCTGCCGTTTATCTCTTGTGAAGCTATATCTTGTTTTATCACATAATGTACTGTGCTATCAAGTGAATAATAACCCATGTTAGTATACCTCTACTTATTTTACACTATACCAAAGTAACCACATAAACAGGCTATTTCCCCGCTAACTGCATGTCAGGGAAATAGTTCGTCTGGAGGGGTGCGATAGTTTTGAAACTATTTCCCTCGGAAAATGCGGGAAATTGAGTGACGTCGTGGGCGGGACCGACCTTCACCTCGCATTGTTGTTAACAGACGACAACAGAAATGGTGATCCCCAGGTTTTCCGTGTTGGACGAGAGCGAGTTGTCGGACATATTTCGTATTTGCGTATTGCAGAGTTATCTTCTCTTGTGAGCAGGTATTGATTGTTACGTCATTGGTTTGTGAGAGTAACGTCTTCAAATTTTGAGAAAACGACGTAATTTTCTCACACAAACCAATGGCGTAACAATCAATACCTGCTCACAAGAGAAGAT